GAACTTGTGTATAACAGAAATTAAACCATTCGATTATCTTCGAAGATTGGACTTTAAATCTTATGATGTAAATTACTCATCATTATGGCATAACGGTAACTGTCGTTTTGTTATAAAATGTTTAGGAGATGTTAGTCTGATACTGATATATCGTTTGTGTAATGGATAACATTCCGATTGTAATTAATGTCCCTCGAAGTTAGGTTTCTTTTTGAGCATGTATTATTATGGCAGTTATGTCCCTTTTTTCCTGTTTGTAGACACAATCTTGTCTTGCCTCCCACAATTTTCACCCAAACATTTCGAAACTTCACTGATGTAGTGAGCATACACTGAAGTTGTGCAGCTGCACTTATGTTTTTTGGTCACCTGAGACAAAGTCTCAAGTGACCTTTTGCGATCGCCTTTTGTCCGGAGTCGTTCGTCGTCCGTCGTCTGTCGTGCGACCATAAACAATTTACATTTTCGACTTCTTCTCCAAAACCCCTGAACCAATATCAATGAAATTTTGCAGAAAACTTCCATGGCCAAAGGTCAACTAAAATTGTGAATTATATGTTCCCCAGCCCCCAGGGGCCTGAGGGGCGGGGCCAAAAAGGGTAAAATTGACTAAAATTTCAAAAAGCTTCTTCTCAAGATCCAAGAATTACTTGACCCTCTGGTCTCACGTTTCCCCCTGGGGAGGGGGTAAACTTTACTATAGTTTATATAGGGAAATAACATTTTGGACCAACATTTGTTTAATTGCCATTAGAAGTATTTCAATTTAGGTTTCCATTATCAGTATTGGATAGCAGTTTGATAGTATGCACATATCAGCCCAGAATGACCCCCAGGGGCTGATGGGTGGGGCCAAAAAGGGTTGAATTGACTGAAAGGTGGGGTCAACATTTGGCCCCCAATTTGATTTCTTTTATTCTTTTGCCATATGTAGATTCATAATTACTACTGAAAACCGTGGTGGACCTTGCATAACACCAGGTTGAGTGATGGGGGTACCCTAACTTAATGATAGATAAATGTCACAGGCGAATGCTATTTTGAACATGAATTATGATAGTGTACAGTGTATAAAACTACTGTTATTTTGATACTAAATATGTCATATTGGTAAATATGAAGTAAGCTTAGTGGTACTTTTATTTAGAAAAACATGCAAAATTTTCACAAAATTTAACATATAATCAACATTGTGAACTTGCCTATATATAGTTACAGTGGTAGTATATATTTTAAACTTCTTTAAAAACTTTCCATATGTGTATTTTGTCTACTGAACCATTTTTATGCAATATAAAAACCGGTAAAGTACTTTATTAGAATGCCAAACATGATCAATAATAATTTCACATAATCACTTGATTACCAATGTTTATCATGGTAAAAACCGATACATTTTCTGTTTTTGTATCATACCTAAACACTTTATTATGTTACGCATGTTTTAAAGTTATGTGCAGCAGTTATAACTCATTAAAATGTATTCTGCCAAAGTAATCTTTCTTCTGGAGAACTACTTAAGGTTGAGATTATGTTATAGACAACGATTTGCAATTATATAAAAATAATTAAATAACCTTAATAGTTAACAACAAAGTTAGGGGGCATACTGGAATCAGCTAGTCTGTCTGTCTGTCTGTCCGTAGATAAAAAATTGTCCGGAAAAACCCCGTTCTAAAATAATGGACCAATTTCAGCGAAAGTGTCCAGATATGATAACCACCACCTCAAGTTATGCATACAGGTATTATGTTTTCATTCTGATCCTCCTTACAGAGTTATGGCCCTTTTATGAATTTTTTTTTTGTCCAGGCATGTCCTCCAAACCTAAGGGGTCAATTTCAACGAAAGTTTTCACATATAATAACTTCCACCTGATGATGTGCATCCAGGTATTATTGTTTTTCAATATGACCCCTTTTTAACGGAGTAATGGCCCTTTGTTGAAAATACTTGTCCTGACAACTCCTCCAAAACTATGCAGCCAATTTCAACGAAAGTTTACAGATATGGTAACTGCTCCCCGACATAGTGCATCCAAATAATATGTTTCATTCCGGACCTTTAAAAGGGAGTAATGGCCCTTTGTAGAAAAAGAACCTTTGTCTGCCTCATTAACTACTGGGCCGATTTCAATGGATGTTTACAGATATGGTAATTACCCCCTGATGTCGTACTTTTTTCATTTCGACCCTTTTTAAGGAGTTATGGCCTTCTGTTCAAAATCTTTGTCTTGACAACTCTTCCTTAACTACTAGGACGACTTAAGCAAAACTGGTTCATCGGGGCTAACAAGATTTGGTATGGAAGTATGTTTTGGCATGGGGAGGGAGTATGTCAGTGACATATATTCTTAAATATTTTACTGGGGGGTGAACTATGTATTGTATTGCTTTGCAATGCTTTGCCTTAGTTAGCCTTTAGCTTACATTCTGGGTTATAAAGGAGTGGGGGTATTAGTTAGTCTTTGGCTTACATCTCTAGTTATTATTTTATTTGGCTTATTGTCCATTCATTAAACAAAATATGGAGGAATATTACATTATTTTATAACGTTAACTATAGACAAATTAATCAAGGAAAGGTATCCTTGTCTGACTCCCCATACAAACAAATATTTCAGCACATTTGATTTTTGTGACCTTGAGCGAAGATCAAGGTCATCAACGTTAACAAAATTTAAATCAATTCACATGAACAACCTACTTGCGAAATATCAAGACCAAAGGACTTTTGGTCATGAAGACACACAAGTTAAAGGAAAAATGAAAGAAAGTTATGTATTTCTTTTTTTGAATCAAAAGAGTTATATGACTTTGAGGTATGGCGGGTTGCTATGCCTATTTCCCCAAAGTTATGTTACGCTAGTGCGCGCATCCAACCGTGCACTGTTATGACGCGTCCTCAGGTATTTGTATACAGGTATACGTAGCTATATCGGAATTTTGTGTCTAAGAATAGATTATTGTAAACAGACGAATTTAAGGCCATGGGTATTAACACATGCGTTTAACGATATAGGCTCAACACAATGCTTATTTCACGTTTTTTATATTGATTTATAACAAATTATACGCTTTTATGTAATACAAGATCGTGCAATCTATACGAAACAGTTTTGAACGGATTTAATTTTCAACACTACTACCTGCGTTCGGTAAATCGGTAGCATTCAGAATGAGTACTGAGAAAGTATCCGGTCTCGGGTGATAATCCGCATATCGCACTAAATAGTAACGAAATTATTACTAACAAAAATGATAAATCAATAGGTATGTTATTAAAATGTAAACAATTTTTTCCGTAATACGATTTGTTTTTGCATATTACAACACGGTCAAAAAAAGTTTATTCAAAAGTTGGTCCTCAGATGGGAAAGTGTTGAAGTATTTTTCAAGTCCGGGAAACCCCATCACTTTCATAGATATAGTGTATATGGCTATATTTGCAGTATCATATAAGCAATACCTAATTTCTCAGCAGTTTAAAAAATCATATTTAATTGGTTCTATATCTTTTGTATGCAATTTTGATACCCAAAATGTGTTATTCCCTAATTTGTTTTCCCGTTTTCATAAATTGCCGACTTAGGAAAATATGGACAGTTTTCCGCCATACCTCTTTACCGGTTGTCAATTTTCTTGAAATTCCTGATGCTGAAAGATATTATTGGTAGCCAACTTTTAAGCAAGTCTGAAATATAGACTGGTTTTAGAACTATGCAAATTAACGTGTCGAAAATTGAAAGTATCTAATTAGTAATGAAATTTCACACACTTTTCTGCTTCAATAAAAAGAATAATTCTTTCTTGAAATAGTGTAATATACGGTATCAAAATGAAAGTTGGAATATGTTGCACACGATGATGATATCATTTTATAGTAATTATTTTATTTAAATGCTCTAGGAAGAATTGTGCTACCGCACCTTTAACACCCACACAGGTGTAAGTCAATGAGGTCCCTTTTATCCTAAAATGAATTCTGAAACTAACGGTTCCTTATTTAAGCTTCCTATACACACACATACCTTTTTGTAGTTATCTTGTTTTTAAATTCAAAGCGGGGGCCGACGCTAATGTTAAATCTACATAGGCGTTGACCCAATCTTTCAAAAATCTTCTTCTCAAGACCCAGATATGGTACAATCAATTACTCTTCATAGATGGAAGGGTCCTAAGGTGCTTTACCAAATTTGTGAATTTCATGACCCTGGGGTCTCACGTTCTCCCTGGGGAGGGGGTAAACTTTACTATAGTTTATATAGGGAAATCACATTTTGGACTAACATTTGTTTAATTATCATTGGAAGTAATTCAATTGGGGTTAGCATTATCAGTATTGGATAGCAGTTTGATGGTATGTACATAAGAGCCCTGACTGACCCCCCGGGACTGATGGGTGGGGCCAAAAAGGGTCGAATTGACTGATTTTTGTTTATTTATAAACTTTATTTCAAATTTCACCTTTTATATTTCTTTATTTTCCATGTCCAAAACTCTTACTAACGCCTCCTTCAGTACTTACAGTACTTTAAATATCCACATCATTAACTTTTAGGCTTACCCGGGAGTGGAACGTTATCAAGCTGACGACGTGTATTGTATCAACGTCACCTAAAAATAAAAATAAATAAATGGCTTTCATCGTGATTGCAATAATAACTAGAGGCATACTTTATCATAAAAACACGACGGTAAGACAGTTGTTACACAGCCTCACATTTACATATCATTACGAAACCTTTAACACATAGCCATTGTACAACACATGCCACGGGGATATTCTTGACAGTTTTAAGGTACTCTTTATCTATGTTGTGGTATGTTATCAGGCTTTGAATCACACACCGCAGGTAAGGCATATAGAAAACCTAAACATCATGTCTCTTAGCAGTTCAGGTGTACACAGAAAAACTATTATGTTGATATTTCACACGGTTTGTAATGTTGATGTCTAATCATGATAGCGTGCTAATTTGCTATTGTAAAAAAGGGGTTTTCCTGTTAACGTGGCTTACAGCTACACATTAACAAACACAGATATATACATCAAGGATGGGGGCAACATTTGATGACACTCTATGAAGACAATCGACATGGAGAACAGACTGATTATCGTGGCGATTGTCCTTGTTGCATGCGTTTGGCAGATACATGGAAATGGTAGGTAAAGCTTATATTAAATTTAAATATTTGAAAGAAATTAAAGAGCATTAAAAAAGGTGCCACTTATTTTATTTTTTTCAATTTGCAGTGACTGCATTATCTCCATCAAACAGATTTGTACTATCCGGTGCTTTTTGAAGATATTTTTAATGTCTATAAAGCTGTATGATTTTCAACCAGAACAAAACTATTTGAGGAATTATATTTTATTTGTGCAATTTTTATTCAAAATACTTTTTTGTCATTTTAATTTACTGCAAGATATTTCATATGAACATCGGCCTTCTAAATAACTGTAATCACTCGGGCCTTATTAATCCGGCTACCGCTAACCAAGGTCTTACTTATCCTGCTATAACTAAACCAACGTCTTGCTAGTCCTGTTTATCACTAATCGTTAGTCAACAAATCTTTCAATGACTAATCCATAGTCTTGCTAATCTTGCTATCACTAACCCATTGTCTGGCTTATCTATCTATCCCTAACTAAAGTCTTGTTAATCTTTAAATCGCTAATCCATAGTCTTGCTAATCTTGCTATCACTAACCCATTATCTGGCTTATCTATCTACCCCTAACTAAAGTCTTGCTAATATTGCAATCGCTAATCCATAGCCTTGCTAATCTTGCTATTAATAACCCATTGTCTGACTTATCCATCTATCCCTAACTACAGTCTTACTAATCTTGCAATCGCTAATCCATAGTATTGCTAATCTTGCAATCGCTAATCCATAGCCTTGCTAATCTTGCTATCATTAACCCATTGTCTGGCTTATACAGCTATCCCTACCTAAAGTCTTGCTAATCTTGCTATTAATAACCCATTGTCTGACTTCTCCATCTATCCCTAACTAATGTCTTGCTAATCTTGCAATCTCTAATCCATAGTCTTGCTAATCTTGCAATCACTAACCAATTGTCTGGCTTATCCATCTATCCCTAACTAAAGTCTTGCTAATCTTTAAATCGCTAATCCATAGTCTTGCTAATCTTGCAATCACTAACCAATTGTCTGGCTTATCCATCTATCCCTAACTAAAGTCTTGCTAATCTTGCAATCGCTAATCCATAGTCTTGCTAATCTTGCTATCACTAACCCATTGTCTGGCTTATCCATCTATCCCTAACTAAAGTCTTGCTAATCTTGCAATCGCTAATCCATAGTCTTGCTAATCTTGCTATCACTAACCCATTGTCTGGCTTATCCATCNGTTATACATCTATTCCTAACTAGTCTTGCTAATCTTGCAATCGCTAATCCATAGTCTTGCTAATCTTGCTATCATTAACCCATTGTCTGGCTTATCCATCTATCCCTAACTAAAGTCTTGTTAATCTTGCTATCACTAATCGAACGTCTAGCTAATCCAAAGTCTTGCTTATCCGGGTATCATTAATCCAAAACCTCGCTAATCCAAATATCACTTATCAAAAGACTCGCCTATCCAGATATCACTAATAGAAAGTCTCCCTAATAAAAATATCAGTAATCCAAAGTCCTGCTTATCTTGGTATCACTAATCCAAAGTCTTGCTAATCCTTATATCTCTAATCCAAAGTCTTGCTAATCCTTATATCTCTAATCCAAAGTCTTGATAATCCTAATATCACTTATCCAAAATCTTGCTAATCCTTATATCTCTAATCCAAATTCTTGCTAATCCTAATATCACTTCTCCAAAGTCTCTCTCATCCAGCTTATCATCTGGCTACAAACATGGCTTACTTATGTGCTAGGATGGAAGGTGTCTGGATTATCGAGAACTCACTCTAATTTAATTGTTTCGTTTTGCTTTGATGATTCATTGATCTATTGCTTTCCGTCTGTCGGACTTATTTTTGTTTTTTGTTTTTTTGTAAACTTTCTGTGATGAAATCATTTGTCTTTGCCATCATCAGATATTGGATAGCTTTTGAAACAAAATTATGAAATGTTATATTCTCGACTTATCATTGAAATTTGGTATTTATACTGTCGATTAATTTATTCATTACATTATTAAAGTTCGGAAATGATTCTTTCCTTGTTTTTCATCAACTTCGTTATTCTCACTAATTATTTTGCGTTCAATAAGCCTACAGCTTCACGTTTGAGATTTCATTAATCCAAATGTGAATACCTGATTAACTTAATTCGTTATTTCTTCCATTTCTTATCATAACACGAAACCAGACTCGCTAACATATGAACAGTATGACGCTTCCCATTACAGCCCTAGGTAAACTTGACAACGAAGACGGGTCACAGAACGAAGCAGGCGACACATATGGAATAGTGAGGCGGGCCACAAACCAACTAGGTAAGATTGTCGAAAGAATTGCAAAACTGCAAGGTAGGAACAACCCAGCATACAGATCGGTTAAACTTGTTTTACGACCGTCAACTGACGAGTGTTGTGGTGATGAATTTGTATATGAAAATTTTGCTGATATCTCAGAATTATTTTTTTATTCCATAATACCTACCGAAAAATAGTGTGCACTTTGTATAAATACTTGCCATCCTTTATAATTTCATTTGAACAAATAACCATATTATACACATAGTCAGTTGTTATTAATTTATCGAGGGGAAAAAACGTAATACTGCGCAGTAGTTTATATACATAAATCATTCAACTTATCAGATATAAGCATGTATGAGGGGATGTCACGAACCATCAAGCTTCCTCAATGAAAATGATTGAAACTGCTTCATATGAAATTTTTGTTTGCTTCTATGGTGGATCAATGACACCACTGCTAATATATCAGCCCAATTTTATTGCAATATTGCATTGCGTTACCATGGAAACCAACAAGAAAGAGTGGGGGTCATGACATTTGGTAAAATGTATTAATGTGACTAAGTTCTCCAATTATAATATGTTTTAGTGAGTAAAATTGTGAAGACATCTATAAGAAATAATTGTGTGGGTCTCATTTAAATGATTTTGTCAATTTTATCATTTTCTTGTATTGATTACAATTCACCAAGGTGTTTTTTTAATTATATATTTTTAATTTAGGTCCCTCTTTCAACTATTTTTTTCTTAGCTCTACAACAATAGAATTGTATAAATTATATATATCCGGAATGTACTGTCCCTACTCAATTTGGATCGCGAATAAAATTGAGAAGCCTATGAACAGCGGATCGGGAAACAATGATAATCTAGAGCACTAATTACCATAATTAGGGTGTGAAATTACCTCCCTTTAAGGAGCTCTTCAATAGTAAGAGCATAGGTAGCAGTGTACAGTAGAAATGGCCTGACCCTAAAAATAAAAGGCATGTCTCAGATAAACATGGATAGTGAATTCAACCTGCACAACACACCTACATGTATATACATATTTTTTACAAGACCATTTTCTTTTTCAAAAACTGTTTTCCCCAGATTTGGAACTTGTGAAAACCATGGTTACCACATCAAAAAACACCAAAATATGCAAAAACGCATGATTTTTAACCAAAAAATCTGACCCCCGCAAGTAGTATTTTTTTTCTTAAAACCTGTCTGAAATTAAATATCGCCTACTCGGTAACAGGAGTACCAACGTTTTAGCATAGGTCATTCCGGTGGATTTTTCACAATATTTACATATGTGCTGAGTACAAAAATAGACTACATGAAAAGCTAGCTTTTGTTGTGTAGACACAGATTTTAAATGCCCAAAACTGTAGTCGCAAACCAAATTCGGGATTTTTTTGTTGAAAAATTATGAAGCCCACATAGTCCACTTCATCATGTATATGCCATTTTTAGTGCCGATTTTTTTATGCATGATATATTACAACATGGCCATTGTACGCTACTGTATACTGCTACCATATGGTAGCAGAGTACAGTAGAAATGGCCTGATCCTTAAAATAAAGGGCAAGTCTCAGATAAACATGGATAGTGGATTCATCCTGTACAACACACCTACATATATATATTTATAAACTACAATTTGAATACATTTTTTTAGAAGAATGATTTTTTTTTCAAAAAGTGTTTTCACCAGATTTGGGACTTGTGAAAACCATAGTTACCACATCAAAAAACACAAAAAACGCAAAACAATATGATTTTTAACCTAAAGCTTGAGCCACGCAAGTAATATTTTTTCTTTAAACCTGTCTTGAATTAAACATCAATTACTCGGTAACAGGAATACTCATGTTTTAGCATAGGTCGTTCAACCCGATGTGCAGAGTACAAAAATAGACTACATGAATAGCTAGCTTTTGTTGTGTAGACACAGATTTGTAAATGGCCAAAAGTGTAGTCTCAAACCAAATTCATTTTTTTTTTCAATATGTACCCCACATAGTCCACTTCATCATGTATATACAGTTATCACACATTATTTGATTATTACCTGAACCATACTTGTAAAAGACAATAATAAATCATTCAAATGCAAGCTTAACGTTAACGTTTCAGTGCTCATTATTTTAATATTGGTCAATATTTTATACACATTGTACATATATCAAAATAGTGTGTCAATAAATGAACTCTTTTTACAAATTCTATTATTAGGACGGTATATAATTATAAAATTATATCATACCTAGTGTTTCAACCAGATTTCTACATTATCTTGAATTTCATTTTTGTATTTATTCATCTCATATTTTGCGTTTTCATCATATTAGTCCACAGCACTGATGAAGCTTTATTAAACAAAACGTAAATTTCTGGTACACTAAGTTTAGTATTTTCAATTATTTTTAATTAGAACAAGGAACCAGACTTACTGTTTCATGAATTCAATTTCTACAATCAAAAGGTGTCTATCGACTAACATATGTACAAGCTATGGCGCTTATCTTTACACTCCAGCACCGGGTGCCGTTGACAAAGAAACCAAATTAGACAATGGACAAAAGATTCGGAAGAACGGTAAGGTGAGGCGTGCCACTAAACGAATTAACAAGACTTCTAAAAGAATTGCAAAACGGCAAGGTAAGAACAGTAACCTATCCAACATATAAATGTGTTTACGGACATAAATTCACTGGTAGTTTGGTGATAAAACCTTTGTAGAGGTTCATTCTTATTGGTATTTTAAAATGATCCTTCTAATTTTACTAATTGATTGTATTTATTTGGTTTTCAAACAATGCTTTGTGTATTCCTTATTGTGTTCCACAGCACGGATGAAACTTTATTCAGTTTTTTGCAAATAACGCCTACATTTACATTTCAGCTCTCGAAGAAAACGGCAACGAAAAAAGATCAGAGAATGAACTAGAGGATGGAAAGGAAAGAGGTGGTATAATGAGGCGTGCCAGTAACCTAATGTTCAAGATCGCCGAAAGAATTGTAAAACGTCAAGGTACGTAAGCTAGCTATGTACATCGATTACATTTACACCAACAATATAATCTATAACGCGAACTATTATGTTCAATCAAGTATCAACCTGCTAAAACTTTTTTTTATATTTATTCAACTGAAACGTTAATTATTGTGTGTTTATCAGGTATCACGTTAACTTCTATTGTATGTTTAATCAGCGAAAACGGTAACTATTGTATGTTAATTCAACTAAAACGTTAACTATTGTATGTTAATTGAACAAAAATGTTAACTATTGTATGTTTAATCAGCTTAAACGTTAGCTTTTGTATGTTAATTCAACTTAAACGTAATTATTGTATGTTTAATCAGCTAAAACGTTAACTTTCTATATTTATTCAGCTGAAACGTTAACTAGTGTATGTTAGTTGAACTAAAACGTTAACTATTGTATGTTAATTGAACAAAAATGTTAACTATTGTATGTTTAATCAGCTAAAACGTTAACTTTCTATATTTAGTCAGCTGAAACGTTAACTAGTGTATGTTAGTTCAACTAAAGCGTTTACTATTTTATGTTAAATCAGCTAAACCGGTAACTTTTTATATCTATTCAGCAGAAATGTTAACTAGTGTATGTTAGTTGAACTAAAGCGTTTACTATTTTATGTTAAATCAGCTAAAACGGTACCTTTTTATATCTATTCAGCTGAAATGTTAACTTGTGTATGTTAGTTGAACTAAAACGTTAACTATTTTATGTTAAATCAGCTAACACGTTCACTTTTTTATATTTATTCGGCTGCAACGTTACTTATTGTATATTAGTTAAACTAAAACGTTAAATAGTGTACGTTTAATCAGCATAAACGTTGACTTTTTATATTTATTCAGCTGAAACGTTACTTTTTGTATATTTAATCAGTGAAAACGTTAACTTTTGTTATATTTCTTTAGCTGAAACTTTCACTTTTGTTTATTAAATAAGCTGAAACGTTAACTATTGTATGTTTAATCAGCTAAACAGTTAACTGTTTTATGTTTAATACGATATTACACTAATTACTGTTTGTTATTTAGGTGAAACGTTTAATAATTTGTGTATGTTAAATATAATATCACGCTAATTACTGTATGTTTATTAAGGTACCACGTTTACTATTGTATGTTTGATAAGATAGCACGCTTATTACTGTATGCTTATTAGGGTAAAACGTTGTTGTTCTTTTTTGGGGTGTTTCTTTTGGTTTATTAAATCTTCTGGTATTAAGTTGACTGGTGTATATTTAATAAAATTGAATTAAGTGTTGTATGTTTAATCACGTATAAGGATAACTGGTATATGATTCATCCGGTATAACCATAGCTGTCGTATATGTTATCTGCTTCGGCGTTAATTTTGTATGAAATATTTGTTCATAGCGAAAAAAGCCAAGGACACTGAATCAACCAACGATCGGCGTGAAATACACTTAGCTAAACGTGAAGGTAAAGTTCATCACAAACATCTCAATATCAATAGAATACTGATATTATGTTCATATTACTGTGGCCCCATCTCATTTGCATATAAAAACGACAACATAAATTGTTGCATGAAGAACGTTTCGGTATTTGTTTATTTACATAACTGTTTATATGGAGATCTCAACTAAAACACTCGTTCATAGAAAATTAAAACTTTGTTATTCAAAAATGTTTACAAATTTACAAACGCTTATATAGATATTACGCATTAAATGCATAAATTCTATCCCAACAGAACATCAGATTGTTGTAATTTCAACAGTAATAATCCATTACAATAAACGTACATATATTAGCGGTAGTCTTATTTAAGCACTTTTCTCGCAAAATATTGCGCTAAATTATCAATGCGCCAATAACAATTAACAATGTTGGTGGGTGCGCCAATTCATCATTCCATAAACAAGTTTCTTTTTCATACTTGACTAATAAAGTAGTCTAAGAAGTTATATTATTTTAGAGTATCAGTTTCAAATGAAATATATAAGAATGTATCATTATCTAAGCATGTAATAAAGATTTCTAGAAAACATTCGTGAAAACAATAAAAATAATTCATGTTGACTTACAATCTGTAATATTGACCTTTGTTATTCTGCATAATGCAAAAGAACGCTGTGACGTCATAAGTGACTTTTAACATGAATATGTATACATATTATAATTGTTAGCATGTAATAAAATAATACTTAATATGTCATCTAACGTCGTACATGTCACCAACTTATTGCACCGAAGAGCAGTCCCGAACTTGTATTTAGTTTTCTCTGTGGATATACGGGATACTGGCTTTCCGAAAACCAAAGCTGAAAACACGAGGTTGTTTCCACTGTGCAGTTAATAAAGTGTATAATTTACTATGATAGCTTTGTTTTTCAACATTGAAATTTTTTCAATAATATCATTATTTCAAATCCAGCCTTTACAAATAAAATGTTAGCTAATTAAATCCTTAATCATCGATAGCATTTGACTCTTTACTTAATAATTTCTTCTGTACAACTCATGTGTTTTCTTTAATGTTATAAAGGGAAACGTTCACATCAAGGAGGGAAAAGTGAACGAAGGAAGTGATATTCAGCTTTCGTGTGAACCAGTGGCAGGTAACGTCAACATATACCAGCTTTTGTTTTTGTTGTTATTTTTATAATGTTCACTTTTTACTTTCGATGGTTACAAAATATTACATCTGATTACGAAGATATCTAAACTAAAGTGAAAAGACCGTTTTATTTTATTGCCATTAAAATTTGAAATGACCCTTTTTATGTCTTAAGAGTAGCATCTTTGGTGATTTGAGTTTCCTGCAAATTTACTCGAAAATAAAACAATCATTAGCTTTAAGCAATCTACAGTACTCCTCGAATATTTCTTGAGATAGATATATTTTTTAATTATTCTGTTTGTTTTTCAGTAACACAACTGAGTGAACACAGCACTTAATCGAACACGATGCCAGGGCTTGGTTCGTCATTCACATATCAAGACATTTTCTCTACATTTTTTTTTTAAATCAGGGAAATAAATAATCCTACAATATCCTCAAGATATTTTAACTGTGATGTTTAAAATACGTAGACTTGTTTTAATTATAAACTCTAAGACATATGTTGGATATATGCATATAAAACTTTTCTGTTCCCTCCTTCGAACAACACAATTATGGATTTCTTGCGTTCAATATTCAAGATGATGAAATAAACACTGCATTGAAAAATATCTTATAGTTGTTTATTTGTAAACTGTCATCAATGTAGACGCGGTATGCATTGAGTACAGGACTGAGAGGTAACATACATCTACCTTTATCAAGCTCCGTCGTATAAATTTATATATAATTTGAATGTTATGGTATGTTGTTGGTATCAGGGTAGTAGGTCTGCCAAAGGTCGATCGGCGATGAACAGGTAGATCAGCCGGTTAAAAAGGTCCTCCTATAGTTTTGATGTTCTGGGATCAAATCCTAATCTAGATTTGGTTACACTTCCCCTACACCTACAGTTGATTTATCTACATTGTATATTTATAGTTCTTTGTTTACATTTGTCAGTACAGGATATTGTATAGAAGTTGTTGTTTACATTTTTTCGGTACAGGATAGTGTATAGAAGTTGTTGTTTGCATTTGGCAGTACAGGATATTGTATAGACATTGTTGTTTACATTTGTCATTACAGGATATTGTATAGAAGTTGTAGTTTGCATTTGTCAGTACAGGATATTGTACACAGGCTGTTGTTTACATTTGTCGGTACAGGGAATTGTATAGAAGTTGTTGTTTACATTTGTCGGTACAGGATATTATATAGAAGTTGTAGTTTACATTTGCCAATACAGGATGTTTTATAGAAGTTGTTGTTTACATTTGGCAGTACAGGATATTGTATAGACATTGTTGTTTACATTTGTCAGTACAGGATATTGTATAGAAGTTGTTGTTTACATTTGGCAGTACAGGATATTGTATAGAAATTGTTGTTTGCATTTGTCGGTACAGGATATTGTATAGAAGTTGTTGTTTACATTTGGCAGTACAGGATATTGTATAGACATTGTTGTTTACATTTGTCAGTACAGGATATTATATAGAAGTTGTAGTTTATATTTGTCAATACAGGATATTTTATAGAAGTTGTTTTTTACATTTGTCAGTACAGGATATAGTATAGAAGTTGTAGTTTACATTTGCAAATACAGGATATTTTATAGAAGTTGTTGTTTACATTTGGCAGTACAGGATATTGTATAGAAGTTGTTGTTTACATTTGTCAGTAAATATTATAATAGAAGTTGTCGTATACAGTTGTCCATACAGGATATTTTATAGAAGTTGTTGTTTACATTTGTCAGTACAGGATATAGTATAGAAGTTGTAGTTTACATTTGTCAGTACAGGATATTGTATAGAAGTTGTAGTTTACATTTGTCAGTACAGGATATTGTATAGAAGTTGTTGTTTACATTTGTCAATAAGGAAGATTATTTACACGTAGTTGTTTGCATTTGTTCATACATCGCATGGTACAGACGTTGTTTGGTTTCGTCTATACAGGATATTATATAGAAGTTGTTGTTTACATTTGTCTGTACAGGATATTGTATAGAAGTTGTGGTTTACATTTGTCAGTACAGGATATTATATAGAAGTTGTAGTTTACATTTGGCAGTACAGGATATTATATAGAAGTTGTTGTTTACATTTGACAATAAGGAAGATTATTTACAAGTACTTGTTTGCATTTGTTCATACATAGCATGGGACAGACGTTGTTTGGTTTCGTCTATACAGGATATTATATAGAAGTTGTTGTTTACATTTGCCAGTACAGGATATTATATAGAAGTTGTAGTTTACATTTGGCAGTACAGGATATTATATAGAAGTTGTTGTTTACATTTGTTAGTACAGGATATTGTATAGAAGTTGTGGTTTACATTTGTCAGTACAGGATATTATATAGAAGTTGTAGTTTACATTTGTTGGTACAGGATATTGTATAGAAGTTGTAGTCTACATTTGTCAGTACAGGATATTGTATAGAGGTTGTAGTTTGCATTTGTCAGTACAGGATATTGTACAGCGGCTGTTGTTTACATTTGTCGGTACAGGACATTATATAGAAGTTGTTGTTTACATTTGTTAGTACAGGATATTGTATAGAAGTTGTTGTTTGCATTTGGCAGTACAGGATATTGTATAGAAGTTGTGGTTTACATTTGTCAGTACAGGATATTGTACACAGGCTGTTGTTTACATTTGTCGGTACAGGACATTATATAGAAGTTGTTGTTTACATTTGTTAGTACAGGATATTGTATAGAAGTTGTAGTTTACATTTGCCAGTACAGGATATTATATAGAAGTTGTAGTTTACATTTGTAAGTACAGGATATTGTATAGAAGTTGTGGTTTACATTTGTCAGTACAGGATATTATATAGAAGTTGTAGTTTACATTTGTGGGTACAGGATATTGTATAGAAGTTGCAGTTTACATTTGTCAGTACAGGATATTGCATAGAAGTTGTTGTTTACATTTGTCCATACAGAATATTGTATAGAAGTTGTTGTTTACTTTTGTCAGTACCGGATATTGTATAGAAGTTGTAGTTTGCACTTGTCAGTACAGGATATTGTACAGAGGCTATTGTTTACATTTGTCGGTACAGGGAATTGTATAGAAGTTGTTGTTTACATTTGACAATAAGGAAGATTATTTACAAGTACTTGTTTGCATTTGTTCATACATAGCATGGTACAGACGTTGTTTGGTTTCGTCTATCAATATAACTAACTACAGGATATTGTATAGAAGTTGTTGTTTGCATTTGGCAGTACAGGATATTGTATAGACATTGTTGTTTACATTTGTCGGTACAGGATTTTGTACAGAAGTTGTTGTTTACATTTGGCAGTACAGGATATTATATAGAAGTTGTTGTTTACATTTGACAGTACAGGATATTATATAGAAGTTGTAGTTTACATTTGGCAGTACAGGATATTGTATAGAAATTGTTGTTTGCATTTGTCGGTACAGGATATTGTATAGACGTTGTTGTTTACATTTGTCAGTACAGGATATAGGATATTGTATAGAAGTTGTTGTTTGCATTTGGCTGTACAGGATATTGTATAGACATTGTTGTTTACATTTGTCAGTACAGGATATTGCATAGAAGTTGTTGTTTACATTTGTCTGTACAGGATATTGTATAGAAGTTGTTGTTTACTTTTGTCAGTACCGGATATTGTATAGAAGTTGTAGTTTGCACTTGTCAGTACAGGATATTGTACAGAGGCTATTGTTTACATTTGTCGGTACAGGGAATTGTATAGAAGTTGTTGTTTACATTTGACAATAAGGAAGATTATTTACAAGTACTTGTTTGCATTTGTTCATACATAGCATGGGACAGACGTTGTTTGGTTTCGTCTATCAATATAACTAACTACAGGATATTGTATAGAAGTTGTTGTTTGCATTTGGCAGTACAGGATATTGTATAGAAATTGTTGTTTGCATTTGTCGGTACAGGATATTGTATAGACGTTGTTGTTTACATTTGTCAGTACATGATATTGTATAGAAGTTGTTGTTTACTTTTGTCAGTACCGGATATTGTATAGAAGTTGTAGTTTGCACTTGTCAGTACAGGATATTGTACAGAAGTTGTAGTTTACATTTGTCGGTACAGGATATAGGATATTATATAGAAGTTGTTGTTTACATTTGTTAGTACAGGATATTGTATAGAAGTTGTTGTTTGCATTTGGCTGTACAGGATATTGTATAGACATTGTTGTTTACATTTGTCGGTACAGGGAATTGTATAGAAGTTGTTGTTTACATTTGACAGTACAGGATATTATATAGAAGTTGTAGTTTACATTTGCCAATACAGGATATTTTATAGAAGTTGTTGTTTACATTTGGCAATACAGGATATTATATAGAAGTTGTTGTTTACATTTGACAATAAGGAAGATTATTTACAAGTAGTTTTTACATTTGTCAGTACAGGATATTGCATAGAAGTTGTTGTTTACATTTGTCTGTACAGGATATTGTATAGAAGTTGTGGTTTACATTTGTCAGTACAGGATATTATATAGAAGTTGTTGTTTACATTTGTCGGTACAGGATATTGCATAGAAGTTGTTGTTTACATTTGTCAATAAGGAAGATTATTTACAAGTAGTTGTTTGCATTTGTTCATACATAGCATGGTACAGACGTTGTTTGGTTTCGTCTATCAATATAACTAACAGTCTATGTATGTAGTTGTTTTATGTGTCTATTATAAACATTATGTATTAGTACTTGTTAATATGAATTTATGATTACCAATACATGAATATGACCAGAGAATACCAAAATGACAACAAAACCTTAATTCAAACTAAAAAACCGAGCAAACAAGGGTAAAATATGAATAAGAAAACAACCATAGCGACCGTTGAAGAACAACGAAGAGAGGACCAGGTGTGGAGAGTAAGCACGTCTGCGTCGGCGACAACACCCGCAATTTAAATCTAGGTCAAATCCAAGTAATGTCACACCTCCTGCTAATGAAACGCAGCGCTGTGAGCCATTCATTCTCGGATGAAACAAAAAGGTGAGGGCCAATCATTAACTGATAAACAATAAGTGTAGATCTTTATAGAAAAGAAGTACGATATAACCAACAAAAGAACAAAAACAACCAACAACTCAATCAGTTACATAATAGCATAGCCCTTCACTTTTGGGGTGTCAATTCCGTTATCGATTTTGTTTTTATTATTATTCATGGGTTCAAAATATGCTAGCTAATAAATGATTATAACTAAACGTACCACGGTGTATTTGCCAATTGGTGTTAACGAAATGATATACATCAAATCGGGATGGCATGTGTCTACTTTAAATAGGTTTGGACCGGAATCTATCTGAAGGTTAACCTAGGAAGGTATATAGGAAATATATGTGTGTTTGCCATTATGATATACAGAGCTATTCCAGACGTCATGTAAACACATCGCCCTCTCCTTTTCCCTTTCCCAAAGATGTAACTAATCAAATAGTTCACTTGAAAACAAAACACCAATCCAATGCTTAGTCTTTATTAACATTAAAATTGCATTCCAGATTTATCAAAGGTTTTGTCTTCTATGGAAGCTTTTTGAGACGCTATCTGCAAATAAACAAACAATTCATTATTTTAG